AGTATATTTGAACTTGTTGTAATAAGTATCCTATCTTATTTCTAGACCAGTAGTCCTACTTTTATGGGCAGAGTTACCTGTAGTTATCGCTGACTAATAATAGAGGGTGGGAGGGAGGAATATGGAATGTATTACAGTATATAGATTTTTATACATTGGTATATTTTAACTTGTAAGTTGTAACAAATAACCTATCTTATTTGGCGGAGGCAGGATTTTTGTTAAGATGGTTCAAAAATAAAAAAAAGTTAAAAATTAGAACAGATTTTGAACCCCTTGACTACTAAATTATGCTTCTGGTCGGTGTCAAGGAAATTCAAAATATAATATATAGAGGTGCGAAATAGATTTTGCCTTATATATACAGTGTAATTTTCCGGTGAATGGGGTTCAAGTGAAACCCTTTCGCCCCCTAAATCTGCCCCTGAATTTTCCAGTCCACAACCTTGCTTTCTATGGATATTTACATGTAGTTATCATTTAGATGGTCTAATCGTGTAAAAATTCTTTTACATTGTTAAACTGGGAAGAATATATGCAGAGAACAATCAGTTAATGCAGTATTTATTCTCTATTTCCTTTAGAGATAATGGATTTTGAGCTTTTAGTTACACTTTTGTAAAGCTTATGTTAGTGTCACTTCTTTAGTCATTTTCTCACCGAAGGAACAAAAAGGCAGGAGAACATTTTGTTGACATTGTGTTCAAATTAAAGAGAACAGCAACTGTTGATTCTCTCAGAAAAAGGGTCAGAAAACAATTCTTTTACATTGTTTTTACATGTTTCTTGATTGTTACGTTGAATTACGAAGTGTGTTAAGTTATCTTGATTCCATGCAAGGAATTCTGATGTGTTATAGGCAGAGGCTGATTGGGAATTGTACATTTGAGATTATTCGTGCAGATTCTTTGGGCTTTGCGGGGAGCCTTGACGTAACCGGTAAAGTTGCTGTCATGTGACCAGGAGGTTCGAGCCGTGAAAACAGCCTTTTGCAGAAATACATGGTAAGACTGCGTACAATACACCCTTTTGGTTCGGCCTTTCCGTGGACCCCATGCATAGCGGGAGCTGGTGCTCCAGGCTACCCATATCTCATGATTTTCACCTACTTTATTTTGCGTTCGACTACACCCTTATGTGTTTCTTTATCTTACAACAACAACAACAACAACTACCCAGTAAAATCCCACAAAGTAAGGTCTGGGGAAGGTAATGTGTATGCAGACCTTACCCCTACCCCGATAGGACAGAGAGGCTGTTTCCGATAAATCCTGTTTCTTTATCCTAATTACTTAGAATTATTAGTTGTTAACAATCTTGTGTGGAAACACAAAATTAGGAGGAAACTAAAGAAAAACTGTTAGAAGGAAAAACTGGAACAAAAAACAGTAAACAATAAGAAATATTCCGAGTCCACAATTTTCTTGTGCGTCCTTAAGGAATTTTAACCCCCTCACATGTTGCCAAGGTAATGGATTAAATCCTCCCAGGATAAAACGGAATAAACCTTCCTGCAACAGTGGCAATACAAACTGCAGGATACCAACGAACTCAAAGAGCGGAGCAAAATCACACTTACGAATTTGAGAGAGAGAGAGACTGCGAATTAGGATGCAGTGTATTCAGAAAGAAAGAAGTTCTGGAGTGTTTTTCGTATCTAGAAAATGGAGCCTTGCCTCAGAATTTATAGGCAATTATCAGAAGAGGTGTCTGGAAAAGGTGCCTTTTCAGAAGAATACGCTGCCTGCCGCGGTTCTACCGCGACCGCGGCAGAACCGCGGTCAGAGAGGCTCTCTGAATCTGCCTGCCGCGGTTCCACCGCGGTCGCAATAGAACCGCAGCCAGAGAGACCCTCTGAATCTTCAGCAGGATTCTGGCGTATTTTCAGCAGTGATTTGACATTTAATTAATTATTAAATAATTAAATAAATTTTGTCCAAAAAATAATCTTATCGATCATTTGACAAATCCAAATCTAAATCCAAAGACGAGCCGAGCGAGCGACGACGGCAGCGGCGCGAGGGTTCATTCTTTTCAATTCCTTTTAAGAGCTTTAAGAAGTGATTCTATATATAAGCACACAAATGTGGTTGTCCCTCACCAATGAGGGGCAAATNCATTGTAGAACGAGCGATACACGTCTGTTTGGAAGATTTCCAAGATACTGCTCCTCCACCAACATTAAAAACATATCCACTTGTGGACTTTGTTTCTGTTGATCCGGTTATCCAATTTGCATCACTATATCCTTCGATAACCGCATGATATTTATTGTAGTGCAAAACATAGTCTTGGGTATACTCCAAGTATCCCAGAACTCGTTTCATTGCCACCCAGTGATGTTTGTTGGGATTACTTGTGAATC